TTTTGTGGTGGCTTCTGGCCACCCCCCGTTCCCCCCCCAGCCATAAGGAAAAAAAGTTGGTTGATCTTTGCCACCAATTACTTGTCACACATTTTTTTTTCTGATGAAGAACAAGGCCAGTTGTAGAATTAGTCAATAAGTATTTCCCAATCAGTTCCAAATGGAGATTTTAACTGAAATGCTCAATTCCAAGGAACCTCAGTGTTTGGGTCTCAACACTTATCAAAGCTTCCTAAGTCTGCAGAACTGGACTGGAAACAGTCATTTTCTGGTTCCTGGCTACAGCTATTAGCAAAACAAAACAACATGGTTGTCCTGAGAGTAAGAGATCAGGCAAGGATAACGGTTGCTAAATGAACTACTTTCTTTCCAGAAACAAAATATTTTAGATCCATAGCAGAAGGTGTGAAAAAATAAACAAACTAAATAAAAAAAAAAAAAGAAAAGAAAACCCACTGTTTGCCAAGAGGTGAGCTGTGTCCCAAACACATGACCCTGCACACCTAGAACCACAGGCTATGTTCCAATGAGATAAACAAGTACAGATAAAATACAGGTGTACTTACAATGTGTCAGAAACGAACTCGGCAGCATGCGTGATGCAGCCGTACCAGTTTGCTCCTGCAAACAACAGACCAACTGGGTTAAGATGCAGAACTCAAAAAATAAAATAAAATAAAATAAAATAAAATAAAATAAAATAAAATAAAATAAAATAAAATAAAATAAAATAAAATAAAATAAAATAAAATAAAATAAAATAAAATAAAATAAAATAAAATAAAAATATTTGCATTCTGAGTATTTACTGGGATATAGCTGTCAGTATTTTTTTTTCTTTCACATCTGGACTCATAAGGAATAAATTCCATATCAATTTTTCAAGTATAGGGAATAAGCTATTAGAATACAGAAAATAACACTTCAAGGGGCAAAACGACTGTACTTGCTACTAATAGCAGTGTTTATCCCAACATATTGCAAACCAACTGGAAAAAGACACATATTTTCTCTTTTTGCTTCAGACAGATATTTATGTGCAGAGCCAAAAGGAAACACCTAACTTTCCAAGGCTAGCTTGGATCCACTGATGTACTGAGAAGCGTGTAGTGGACTCTCACACAAAAGCCTACTACGCAGCTATCCACATGATGCAGAACTCATCTCAAGGTCCCTATTACACATCAGCCTCTCCATGCAACATTGAGCAGAACAAGGAAATCTCTCTCTGCCTGCCCTCTCACAATACAAAAAAAAAGTAAGTAAAAGTTTACATGTGTCCCTCACCTTCCTTACTTCTAATTTCCCCATACTAATTTCCTTGCTAACTTAACTGCTTACTCCAGGATGCTTCGTGAAACATAATGGTACAACATCTAATTATTATTCCTCTCTTCAGAGCCAGGCAGATGCTCCCCTAGCACTCCCTGAACTGCCTCCCCACGTGCACACACCTGTAATGACCCCTTCAGCTCAACAACCCTACAGAAAAATATAAGCTTTCTGGCTATTTATTGCTGATGTCCTTCAACGTGGCACTGTGTGTTCTTGGCCTATGTGCAAGATGTCAACAACTGAGAAAATACTACATCTAATTAAAGCATAACGTATATTCATTCATGTTTTTCCAGTTCAGGGATCCGTGGGATGCACTGGGAGTGCACACCTTCACTATTCTGCACATACATCTCCAAGTCACATCATCTGACCTCAGACTGGACCTGGCCGAAGTGTGTAAAGCTATAGGGCCTCCTCTCGCCACAGTCACAGATGTATATACAGCTGCACAAAGGATCTCTTTGGTATCATTTGGCACAAGCTGTGTCATTCTATTACTGCATTATGTGCTAAGCCAGAATAAACAAAATAAAGCAAAATATTGTTACACTGGGGGCTGTCTGACAGTTTAACTGCAGAATCAGTGGTCACAAGGTGAAATAAGCTGAGCACCTTCTGGGCTTGATCTATCAGAAGGAAAATATCTACACATTACCTGTTATGTAGCAATATCTGAATCTTTATGACATGGGAATAGTTACTTTTAGTTAATTTTTATTTCTCTAAAATTGTGATCATCGGGCAGGGCTAAAGTATGCCAAATGGATTGCTTACAGAACTTGTCTGGCCCAACTTTAATACTTATGCCACTTTTGTGAGGTGGTAACAGCAATGACCTTCTGAATGCTCAGGCACATGGAAGCAGTCTAAAGGAAGAAACTGCTTGCATTTGGCAGGTTTAGCAAAATTAGTGCAGCAGGTTTTGCTCTGGCAAACACCTGCTGTAGCTGCAAAGGACTGTCTGAACACTTCTGTAGACTGATTGTAAGAGCTATGGAAAAATGAATGACACCAGGAAACTGATAAAGAGGATTACCAACAGCATTTCTGATTAATACTTCTTCTCCCAAACATGTTGATACATGCAGTTGCTAGAAGGTAAGGAGCTGGTTGTAGTTTCTCTGCATAAAAGAGGATTTGCAGGCTGACTGAGAGATCTTTTAAAATGTACTTTGATAGACATGGTACAAAGGTACAAGTCACAAAATGGAGAGGTTTTTGAAGTCCCCTCTCCTGAAAAATGCTCAGGTAAATGACTCAGGCCAAAGGTAATTTAGCACCAGACATATGCAGGCAATTAATCAAAAGGGAGAGTATGAGAGTGATTCGTCCTTTGTGTAGACTCTGGGCTTCAAGCTGTTATTTTAATTATGCTTTTTAAAATCACTATAAGAGAGAATAAAGCCATTATATCATGCATCTTACCTTTTTTTTTGTGAGCACAGGACCCGTTTTCCCACATGCAAATCATGTTTTGTCAGAAATACTCACTCAAACACTTATTTTTTTCCATTTCTCACCCTCTCCTCTCCCTCTCATATTCCATTTAAAAAACAAATGCTTACACTAAAGCAGACAGGCCTTCCTGCCAAACAGAGACTTCCCACACTTAGCTGCTCCTATAATATGTCACCTTGTTCTTGTGAAAAATGGTGCATTCTCTGCAGCGCAGATCAGCATACTGTAGGAGGGGACAGGTAGCTCTGGAGCACGCAGCACTTGGAAATGACAAAGTGCACGACTAGCTGGGATGACAGAGAGCAAACGAAGTGACCATGTTCCTGCAGGAACACCGTTAACATCATTTTGCTTGGGAATAAGTTTTGTTTGGGAATAAATAACCTTGCTTAACAGTTATTTTCCATGCTAGGAGATGCTTGGTCTCTCTGGTTTAATTTGAAGAAGAAATAAGCTTCTCAAAGTGTTCTTAGCATTTCTGTTAGGTGTTTAATTTATCTAATATCTAAGGAGTATAGGAGATCAATTTAGATCTCAAATTTAGGTTTTGTCAAAACAATCTCCCTGTAGCTCACTGACAACTCTAGCAAGGTCCTTGAGGCAGAGTACTGATCACAGAGGGGGATGGAGCAGCCTGAGGACACTTCGGCCTGAGGATGCCACCTCTTCACTGCAGACTCAGATGCCACCCCAAGGAGGATGTGCAGCAATACCTAAAGGAGTCTGAAGTACTCAGATCACCATCACCTTTGGCCTCCTGTCAAGACACTTGATTTAACTTCCAATGGCTCTCACTTCCATGTAGCTGTGCAGGTTCTGAACCTGTATAAACCTTTTATATCCATAATGTCCCTCACTACATAAAGAGCCAAAAACTTATACTTGTTTTGGACATTGCTCCCATGAGCTTCATCTGATGTCTTCTACCTCATAGCCTGTCACTTCTCCCGATCAACATCCATGATTTTGTACGTCAGGGATTGCAGCTGGTCTGTGGAATCCATGGCTCCCTTAGCAGAGAACGCTAACCTTGAAAAGATTAGAGGATACTTACACGTTTGATATCTTTAATCATCCTGGATTCTGTTCTCTAAACTTTTTCTAGTTCTCATCCTCTAATCTCAAGCAGGAGATTCACAACTGCATGTAGTGAAATACTGAAAAGTATGCACACAAATTCTGGATTTATACTGTGTCACCAAAATACTTTTCTATGTTCTGTTCCCTGCTCTTTTCCTAACCATTCTATATGTTTCCTTCCCTTTTTTGGCTGCTGCTAACATGGATATAGTTTCATGGAAATATCTTTTATAATCTGTGGATCCCAAGCAGTAGTAACACTGAGCACAGAGCCCATACTCTCACATATAAAGCTCACTTTATATTTAACAGTAATGATTTTTTTTTAATTCACATGATAGGAATATCTTAAATGGCACAGGCTCTGGCACAGACTCCTGCAGAACTCCATTGGTGACTCCAGTCTACCCTTTGTTTCCTCTTTTAACCTCTGTTCCCTTTTTCCATGTAGCATTTTTTCTAAAACATAGGACTACCACAAGACATTTCACTGATGTTTATTACAAAATCAACTAGAAATAGCCTCCTGTCCCACAAAGAAACATGAAGGTAGACTGATTCAGAGGAGTGAGTGGGTACAAGATTTCCTGGATTATGAATAAGAGCACCTAAGGTAGAACTACTTGTAAAATGCCTGGGATTCTAACTCATAGGCATGCCCTACTGTTTAAAATTATTTCCAAAGCTGGCTTCTGCATGCACTCATGTAATGCTTGAGCAAAAAATCCTGTAAGATTTAAAAATTAATTTGGACTAATGATCAGAGCAACAAACTCTTCTACCGTAAGAACAGCATGAACATAAGCCCACAAGGTGAAAAATAACTTAGCTCACCTTAATGGAGGCTATAAATTTCTAGTGTCTCCCAATGATACTTTTTCTTTTATCTTATAGTTGCTTGAGAAAAACAGGAGTTTCTGTATTTTTAGATTGCATAATCTCAGGGATTGCAGCTGGTCTGTGGAATCCATGGCTCCCTTAGCAGAGAACGTTAACCTTGAAAAGATTAGAGTGTATCTATGAGATAGGGAATTCACACGGAGACAGCAGAAAGTTATTAACAAGTTTAAGGAGGTTTTGGCCATGGAGCAGAAACTGGCCAAGCTAAGAATCGTCCAATCATAACTCTGTTACTAGCTACTGTCCTTTGTAGTCCTCACCAATAAGCAGCAGCCACGACAAGGAAAGCTTGGTATCAATAATGTACTTGGAAAACAATAAAGCGTAGTTTGCGTTGCATCTACCCCAGTTGTTTGTGTTTGGCCGCCACGACTGCGACAGCATAATAGCAATTTTTGGAGCTTGTGGGTCTTGGGAATTAGTCTATAGGGTAAGCACTATCACTTCCATGGTCATCCTGTTTTTCCCATATTGCTCTGCTGCTTCACAATATCTACAGCAACGAGCAACCATTGGAAAAAAAACAAAAAACAAACAAAAAACCCCCAAAAGAATCCCTCCTCCCTCACCCCAAAAACCCATAAATCGCATTTACTACCAAGACCTAACAAAAAAAAATTCATCCTATACAGTGAATGAGACATTAGACCCCTGAGGGGAGGAAAAAGGATGTAGATGACCTTAAAAAAACAAAAACAATTATGATAACACATATAAGAAAGAAATAAAATTAATTCATCTGCCCAAATTTAAACTACATGACTCTGGAACTATACCACCATCTCTAATCTGCACAAAAAGAATTGAACATTAAACTTCCATGATTAATTGCTACCAGAATGCTCAAATTGCAAAACAGGTGATTCAGCTGCTTAAACTGCAGTTTACAGCCTGGAGTTATCATATTTATCCCAGAGAGAAGCTTTTTTTGTCAGTTTTACTGCAGAAACTTTTTCTTAAACACATTAACCAGGAGAATGGCCGCTTTTAGCCAAACATAAAATATTAACCTTTTGGTAATAGGCTTGACTAGAAATATCAATGAGAGAATACAAGAATTCAGCTGACAGATTTTGAGATTAAGAGAAAGATAAATATAATTCCAATTTAAGACAGGAATAAAAATTATTATTGGTTTGATCATGATAGCCCAAAATTTTCCTGGATACTTCGGCAATCTTCCCGAAGTCCACAAGAACACAGGCACAAAGCTCATGCCAGTCACTTTAAGGCAGGTGATATAGCAGGAAGCCCCCAACTCTTGGCTCTCATGTTTTGCTTTGAAAAACATTGCTCACTCTTTTCTCATGCTTCCTTCTGTCATGCAGGCACAATGAAAGCGGCTGGCAAATCCCCAAGATAGGGTGGTATCTTAACAGCCTAAAAGTTCTACCACAGCAGAAAATGCAGGAGGGTGTAAGTACCAAAGCACTCTAAGCTGTTTAATCTTTTTACTTACATTTATTGCTCAGTTTCACTGAGGCCTGTTGACTTGCAGTAAATATATATTTCCATTAAATCTGAAAATGCTTTTTACTAAGATGTAGGTTATAAATATGTAAGTTTTAAACCTGAAATGTTTGTGCACCAATGCACGAAGCATGGGGAATAAGCAGGATGAACTGGAGATCTGTGTGCGGTCCCAGCGTCATGATCTCATTGGAATCACAGAGACATGGTGGGATAGCTCAACTCACACATTTGGAGCGCTGCCATGGAAGGCTATGTGCTCTTTAGGAAGGACAGGCTGGGAAGGCGAGGGGGTGGAGGTGCTCTTTATGTGAGAGAGCAACTGGAATGCATGGAGCTCAACCTGGGAGTGGAGGATGAGCAAGTTGAGAGCTTGTGGGTAAGGGTTAAAGGGCAGGCTAATGTGGGAGACACTGTGGTGGGTGTCTGCTACAGGCCACCTGACCAGGATGAGGAAGTTGATGAGGCCTTCTATAGTCAGCTGGATGTTGCCTCACAGTCACAGGCCCTGGTTCTCATGGGGGACTTCAACTACC